AAAAAAAACTATTTCCTGTTTTGGAATAGGAAGAATCAGAACTCAGAAACAGTATCTATTGAGTTAAACAATGTATGAATTCGAAGCACTTCTCCTCCAAGATTGTCTTGTGACGTAATTCTTTAATAAAGTGCACTTCATGTTTGTCTACCTATGCGTGTGTCTCGGTTTTGGTCTCTTCTTTTGCTTTTTGTTCTTCTAGGAAAAAGAACCCTCTCTTACACTGGATTTTCTACTTCAAATACACACTACAAAACGTTACCTGCGTACTTTTTTCATTAAAAGCAGAATAAATATTATACCCCTTGCGTTATTTAATTCCCATAATAATGGCTTGCACATTACAATTAAACTCTCGTAATATTATATGAAAACTGTACAATGTTTAGTAAAAAGATTATAACAACTTGTTTTAAGATATGTATGTCTTATTATAACAAGGAGTGGAGGTAGTATTTAATTATATCATGATCATGAGGGACCCTATTTTGTGAACTAAATTTGGATGATCAAATGAAAAGCCAAAAAAAATGTTATAAAAATGTGTGTGGATACCTCTTACGAGTGAAAGATCATTTCTGTGAAATGCAGAAAACGAAGGCTTAGTGTCTTTCTCTGATAAAATAATATTAAAATTTGCATGCTATGCTCCTACTAGAAGACTCGTAGATCTTGTTGTAAGAAAGAAGACATTCTAAACCATGTGAAGTTCACGACAGGTTTGTCCATGGTGCTTAGGGCTTATAACCAGGGCCATGCAGCATTTGAGGGATATTAGAGATTTTGACATTTCAGATTTGACCAAGAAGGATACATATTACGAAAGCAACGCAAGGCCACTTAATAAAGAAAATGCTGCTATGTCCCAAAGAAGATGCACTTCTTAAACTATTCTACAATGTCTCAAGCCCTCTTCACCTTCTCTTTCTCCTTCTCTTCTCCTCTGCCGTTTTCCTTCTCACCTTCTTCACCTTCTCAGGCAGATACCCCTTCATCCAAAGGTCTTCTCCATTTCTCTATCTCTTCATTACACGTTTTCTTCTGCCTCCACACTCTCACTTGTACCTTTTTTCTTTGTGTGTAGCAGGGATCAAGAATATGAATAAGTGTACACCGAGGATGAAGAAGAAGAAGATACTCAAGAAGGGTATTCTTGTGTTGATTCTACCGAGGGAGAAAACATCACTTGTGGGAAAGGAGTTCCTGTGTTTGTGCACAATGAGAGGCATCAAAGGACTCATTCTTATTCGGAAGAATTCGTAAGCCCCAGAGAGAGCTTGAATGAAGAGTCAGAAGAAAAACATTATTCTGAAACGTTGTCTCTCCATAAGTCTCCGCAAGTTTCTGACTTCGACAATGAAGAGGCAGAAACGGTCGAAGAAGACTTTACAGCAAGAGATTCTGATTCTGTTCCAAAATCTACCAAAGTTACCAAAGTTGAAAGCAGGAACACCTCCCCCTTCAACCTCAACGCGTACAAAGGAAAAAAACACCATGACGGTATCTCCTTACGTTATACCTTATGTATCACCATTTTATATTAGTGTTATGGTAGTGTAAAAACCGTATTATGTATATAATTTTTGGATTTAGTTAAACTCCAATTCTAACTTTTTCAAGCTTATCAGATGACTTGCTATTAATCATGCAAAGTTTAAATTTGAGATATTCAATGGTAAATGTAAACCTTATGAACTAGTTTTTGGTTGAGTTAGGCCTAAATCCAAAATTTAAGATTATAGATGTAGTGATACTCTTACATGCTCCATTTCTACAAGGTAAAGTTTCTGATGTTAGTTACTTTATGCAGACGATCACGTTAGCGTTGAAATTATCAGAAACAAGAAGGTGCAAGAGCCAAACGCTGCAAGGGATGAGAGATTCTTTGTTTTTGCTTCTACCCAGTTGCAGAGTAAGAAGTTGATGGTTGAAGAGAAGGATGATGAGTCCTCTAAATGGAAGAGCTCCATCAATTGCAGGGATTCCGAGACTGAGGAGGATGCATTTTCTTCTTCATCCAGAAGAAGTTGCCCCAAGTGGGAATCATACACATTGTTCCAAAAATATGATGAAGAAATGGCAATCCTAGACAGAATTAGTGCACAGAAACTTCATGAAACAGGTAACAATCTTTTTTCTAATTCCAAGTGCATTACTTATAAGAAAAATTATTAATCCAATATTTCAGAGTCATTAAGGTCCATCCAAATGTCTCCAAGATCAATGTCAGAGCGTATTGTGTACAAGTTTCAGACTATAAATAAAAAATCTGTTGATGTTGGTCACAACCCATATCGTGAACTAGAGGCTGCATACGTAGCACAAATTTGCTTGACATGGGAAGCCCTTAGTTGGAACTACAAAAATTTTCGTTCCAAACATGCCTCACGCCAGGACAATGACACGGGTTGTTCTGCCACAGTTGCTCAACAATTCCAGCAGTTTAAGGTTTTGTTACAGAGATACATTGAGAATGAGCCTTATGAGCACGGTAGGAGACCTGAAATCTATGCTAGAATGAGACTTCTGGCACCCAAATTGCTCCTAGTGCCAGAATATCAAGGTATGAATATTAGTTTTCATTCCTCAAATAGTAGCACATCTCATGTCACAAGGTGAAATAATTATGTACTTTTGTTAATTTTCTTTAAAAAAATTAG